TAATACTATTATTACTGCTACTATTATCACTGATATTGTTACTACAACAACTACCATTACTACTACAATCATTACTACTACTTTTGCTATTGTTTTTCTAGTACTAATATTATTAGTATTACTACTACTATTACTTCTATCACTACTACTGCTACTATTACTACTAATACTATTATTTTTACCACTACTGCTACTACTATCGCTAATACTCTACTGCTGTTACTACACTTTTAAAAAAAGATGGTTCTTCAATTGTTCTTTAGTAGAGACAATGGTTCTATATAGCGCCAAAAAGCATTCTTCTACTGTTACAATGTCAAGTTTGTAACAACAGAAGAACCACTTTTGATACTATAGGTTCTGTATAAAGCCATAATCAACAATCTGAAGAACGATTTCACCATGCAAAGAACCATTTGAGCATGCAAATGGTCCATTCAGTGTTTGTGGTTCTACATTGAAACAATGTCTTTATTAAAGAACCATTTAAAGACCCATCTTTTTTAAGAGTGTACTATTAGTAACTACCGCTAATTCTAATAATGCTAGTACTACTATTACTCATATGGCTACTAATAATAATAATATTATAACTGCTATAACCACTACTACTACAATGTGTCATCATAAAACAGTGTGTTAACATGCATACAATAGTAGATGTTCTTAAAATAAAAGTCTTAAAAGAATGAAAAAATATGGATATGGTAGGAATTAAGTTTGAAATGATAAGAATTTTGAAAATAAGTGCAGATTTTGAGTTTCCATAGATTCAAAATTCCCTTACCTAGGCCACACTACAAATAATGCTCACTTAAATACAAAAACAAAGCCAAGTACGATAAATTCATGTAAAATTTCTTCATCATTCTTAAGCGTGTTAGAGCTTCAGACATGGCATCACTGGTTTCTATGTGCGAATTCAAGTATTTAAATATATCTTGGTCTTCAGAGTTTGTGTTGAACATCAAAGGAACAATATACGCTTTGAAGTAGCATGGGGTAGGATCAGTCTCCCTCTCTCTCTCTCTCTCTCTTCCCCTCTCTCTCTCTTTTTCTCTCTTTCTCTCAGATCTCTCTGCAATGACATTGAGAAAGTCATCCGCATTACATGGTGCGAAGCCTATTTGACCACAATGACTTTTTGTAACCGTTTAATATGCCTTAATCATATGAATGGAAAGCATGTCAGAAGAAGTCCCGGAATTGGCTTGTCAATACATGTTGGGAAGAAAACCTCAAAAGCTCACAAATAAGACATTGAGAGGCGTTTGCTTTGTATGCTCCAGTTTCCTTCACTGTGGCATGACTTAAAAAAGAAATATATATGTTACATACGCAAGATCGAAGATCTGCATCTTTAAAGTTAATGTAGCAACAGTGAAATCACAGGAGTAACGTCGTTGGAGCAGCTGATCACTTTCTAATGACAGTCGTTGCTCTTAATAGAGTTAGCTTGAAGTGCTAGTCTCTGATAAGGCTCTTGTATGGTTTGCTACATTTTCCAAACATGATTATTTATTCAGTTTGACTTTGATTTCATAATAACGTTGTGATAAAATACTTACTTCTTCATATTTAGCCCAAAACAAGCCATTAGAATGGAGCTAATGTTAGCCTACTAGCTCTTGCCACCACAAAAACAATGCACCCTGTACTAGCCTAGCTTGACCTATTTAGCATTCCACAGTTGCTGTTGTTAGTGCTAGCCTGTTTTAGTATTTATTGATTGAACTTGCTAATTTATTTACAGGTTAGAAATTTGGTTTGTAGTTGTTCAGTACTGGTGCTAGGTTCCAATTTTCTGTAGAGTTCTGGGTTCCCAGTTTCTACAGAGCCCTGAACAAGAACATGAGTCCCAGTGAGTGAAATAGACCTCTGAAGTTTTTGTAGTCTACATCACATAAGGAGCTCTGAGTCTAAGCGACAGTGTAGCAGTCAGTCACACCCTGTAAACTAAAATGTTTTTAAAACCTGGTATGTTTTGTCCTGTGTACATTTTACAGAGTGTCTCTGGATCCTCTGATTTCTGAGGTTATTAAGGTCTCAAAATATGAATAATATTATATTCATACTACAATCCTGCTAGAAAAACTAGCATGACTAGTCACCAGCAATGCCCATGCTGGGTGACCAGCCAAGCCAGCACCAGACCAGCACTAGACTAGTGCTGGTTTGAGAAAACTGGCTTAGACCTGAAATTCCTTACATGGGCATGACACTGATTGTAGACTCACCACATGACATCAGAGGTCTATTTGAGTGACATTAATATAATATTGATGTTAGAATGGCTCAAATTTGGTGGATAAACTATGATGTTTATCAGACAACCTAGCGTCAGTGACAGCAAAACCTTGCTATTCCAAAAATTCCTCCATTTACTCACTGTGCCACAAACTGGCACAACACAGTGTTAATTGTGTGAATGTTCCACTATTTCCAGCCTTAAAGATTGGCCTTTTCTACCTTTTCTTCCTGGGCCAGGCTCACTTTGAAGTCTTTAGTTAAACCGTTCCAAACCAATCTTGTTTTAAATTAGCCTGGAGCAATAACAGCTAAAGACTTTCCAATCTGTAATGCTGCTTACTTTGGATACTTATTTGTTGCAGATTAGGGTTGTGTTTGGAATCTGTTTCTACTAAAGAAATAACAGACTATATAGTGTGTCACTCTGTAGTTTCTGAGTTCTCTACTTTAACACTGACTCCCTATATAGTTCACTACCAAAGACCCACAATGTACTGCAAATTCATGCAAGTTCCAATGACAGTCGTCATCTGTCAAGTGGTCCACAAATGGCAATTTCATCCACAAATGTAAATATCTGTCATTTTTTAATTTGAAAAAAGCAGCATAATGCTAATATTAGTAAATTAACAGGTGCTACTCAAGCTAAGGTGGCCTATGGGTGAATTTTCAACTTTTAGTGACAAACAGCCATTGATGTGGATTGGGATGATTGTCAATTGATGTATGATATCTTTGCAGATAGCTTAAGTGTTTTGCTAATCCTGGGGTTTTGCTTCAGGCAGTGGATGTTTATTTCTAGGCTACCCACATCTTGGAAAGTAGCGCTCCTGAAATTGTCATGCATTCTAGTATAGTGTAATGAGAGAATAAACACAGCATTCCAAGCACTATTTTGGCTTGGGAAAACTCATCACGGCACAAAAAAGATATTAACTTCATACCTCTTTTGGTAGTGCATGGTGGACTGCTTTCTTTTGATCTGGTAGCCAACCCATCCAAAGGTTCTGAAGTATATATATATATATATATATATATATATATATATATATATATATATATATATATGCCAAATGTATATTAATTAAAGATTATGTATTGTGTTTTGCTTTAAAAATTGATTTGGTGTTGTAAGTTAAAAATGTAAGTAATCTGGTTGAGTTGTTGTGAGAGGAAATGTTACACAGGGTATGCTAGTATACACACTTAAAAAGGTCTTCAAGGGTTTTTTAGTAAAGGCAATTGCTCTGTTTAGAATAGAGTTCTACACAGAACCCAAAAGCACCAAAAGGCATTCTTCTAATGTTCCAAGCTTGACATTGTAACAATAGCAGAACATTTTTGGTGCTATACATAACTATTTTCAAAAAGTTCTCAAACTAAACTCTTTTCAAAAACATTCTCCATCAATCTGAAGAACGTTTTCACTGTACAAAGAACCATTTAAGCATGAAATGGTTCTATATGGAACTCATAATCCTAGACAGAACTATTGCCTTTACTAAAGAACCCTTAAAGAACCCTTTTTTTTCAAATGTGTAGCAAAAGAACCTATTTAAGACAGAGAATCTTTGAGGTTCAGTAAAACATGCTGAACATGTTGCACCCTCAGTCGAGTGTTGGGGAAAATGCCTTTGTCAGCTGGCCTAACTCAAACCTAACACATATGCTGTAGCTTTTAGATACCTTTTTAGGTTATAACAGTTCAAGTTTTGTTGTATGAAGACTAATTAATCTACATAGCATTTCGATGTCCAACAAAGCAAGAAACATTTGTGTGATCACTGAAAACATCGTTTTGTGCAGCAGTTAGCATCCGCTGCTAATGGTAAGCAAATTAATCAAATGTAGCTAGCAAGAAAGCCAAGTATCATGAATATGCATTGTTTTTTTAACAAATAGTATTCAAATACACCACAGAGAAACCATATTATTATATTGTGTTGTTCAAGTGAATCACTGCTCTTCCATCTTTTTGTTGCTCCACAAATTAGCAGGTAACGCCTGCGCTTTGCTAGCATTTCTGAAGCACCCTCAGTGATTTCGTTCTGGAACCAGTGTGGGCTTCAGTAGGTGCTGACTTTAGGTCATATTTACGCACATGAACACCACCACAGTGTCATATTTACTAGTAGGAAGCTCTGATTTTTCGATAAGTTGGGAGCATATCAACAAAAAAGCAATAGTAGCTGCTGATAATCTGGTCAAACAGTCTGCATTTTCCTTATATTATGTTCTTTAGCCTACACTAGCACATTAGCACATACTGAGACTTATTTACAGCCAAGATGGTAAAATGGACATAAAATGTTGGGGCTCCCAGGGTGCACTGGATACTCCTCTGGATCCAGTGCACCTGGTTAATATGTAATGCAATGTCTAGAAGAGCGATAGTGGGTTGAACCGATGCATTTTTGTTGAAAGAACAAAACGGCTCTTCTTAACATTTGGGTTGCGACCCCTGGCCTTGAGTTATGACCTGGCTTTGACTGTAACCAAAGGAGAAAAGCAGAAGGGAAAACTGTAACCTGTTAAGCTATTTTATTAAAAAAAATAAATAAATAAATAAATACATAAAGAAACAGGATGATAACTAAGTGAAAGAGAGAATCCTGCACAGAAAAGAACTATCAGGATGAACCCACTTCAGCCAGAAAATGATGAATTACGGCAAAGCTCCGCCCGCGTGGCCACGCCCCCCACAGATCCAGAGGAGGATCCAGTGCTCTCTTTAAGGCAGCTCAGTGCTGAATGGGACATGAGAAGGTCCGCACTACACGTCTCCCTCTCTTCTCTCTCTGTCTTTGCCCTGATCGAGGACTTCATACAAACACTGCACCGCATTCCTGACCTGTGTTGACGGATTACTCTTGATTTCGGAGTCTTGTTTTGTGGTTTGGATTATTCCGTTCTCCTCAGTTTAAGGCTGCAAACATACTACGGGACGTTTCTTTACTTTTCCACCTCCGAGGAGCCCTGAAAACATGGTATGATCTGCGATCCACGTTGTTTTTCTTCTCTTATGTGCTCTAAATGTGGTGTGAATGTCAGCAGTTCAGGAGTTTGTGTAGGCTTGGGGGCTTCAGTGAGTCCCTCAGCAGAGTCAATGTGAACTTTCAGTCTGGAAGTGTGGAAACGATCAGAGTTCTGAACATGCTGCGCTTGAAACGCCTCTCCAGGCTCGCGCGTGAGTGGTGCGTGGTCTTTTTTGGAAACAGTGCGCGAGCTGGACACCTTTGCACGCTCCCATTGCTGTGTATCGACGAATCGTTTGCAGATTTCTGTGGCCACTTCTTTTTCAGTCAGCTTCTTATTCGAATTTTCCCGTTCCACCTTAAAATGGTGCAGCAGTTACAGTCTGGCGGCTAACACCATTTAAGGTGGATCGGGAAAATTCGAACAAGAGCTGACTACAGCTTATGCTCACGAGCTTGAAAGATCAAAGATGTGCGTGGCTCGCGCTCGCCGCTCTGCGCTTTCATCTGCGAGAAGTTTTCTCTGCACGTTCCGCACGCAGAGGAGCTCGTGCACGGTATGGAAGAGTGGCGAGTGCATCTTTACTGCTTTTTTATGTTTTTATCTTCATTTATTTGTTTGGTTTAAACCGTCCCTGGTGCGTTTTGCTGGAAGGAGGTTTATTTATGGCTTTTTTTTTTATTTCTGATTGAACCGTTCACGCGCGTTGATGAAGCCCAATTCATTTTGACCGAGCTCGTGCTTGGAAGTTTCGCAGAACATTTGCACTTAGAAAGTTACAAAGAAGCTGAACGGAGGTTGTTTCTTCGAGTTTAACGTTTGCACGTGCAGAGAATGCATGAAAGAGTGAGTGATAGTGCATCTTCATTGCTTTTTTCCTGATCAAACAAACATCTTGATTGCTTTTTTCTGATTATGCGGATCTCGTATTGGCAGAAATGCTCTTTTTGGGGATAATGCATGGCTTGAATGGGGGAGATAGGGCGCTTTCTTCTTTCTGATTGACCCCATCCTGTGTATTTGCAGCGATTTAGGGCAATGCAAGCGATGGAAGAGTGTTGACAGGGGGAGATGCATGTTGCTTGTGCTTGCTAGCGAGGCTTGTTTGTGGCAATACAAGGCTTGGGAGAGTGATAGGAGGGTTGCATCTTCTCTGGTTTGCGTTTAAGGAGGTATTGGAAGAGTGTTAGGAGGTCTGTCTTGCTTTTATTTACGTGTATGTTTTAATAAATGCGTGCTTCGTGTTTGCAGAGAGGCTGTGCATGGAAGGGTGGTACGTTAGAGCTTTGCATCTTCATCGATTTCAACTGATCAAGCCATTTGTGCTCGTTTTGTTCAATGCAGTGTCTAGAAGAGCGATAGTGAGTCTGATTGAACCGATGCATTCGCAGCGAAGCTCATCTGGTGCTCGTGCATGCCTTGGACGAGTGAACAGTGGGTTTGCATCGTGCTTTCTTATGATTTTATGATTGAATCAGTGCCTGCGTGAGCCAAGAAGCTTGTCTGAGGGTTCATTTTCCAATGAAATCGATGCTAAGGGGGTAACATGAATGCAAGGCTTGGCAGAATGATCCGGGCTTGGAGTCTGATTAACATCCCCATGCTTTGTGTTCGCAGACCGGCTCGTGCTGGCGCCGTCCGTAGAGGCACCCGAGCAGGGCGAGCATGAGCCGCGCGCTGGCGGAGCCCGTGGGCGCGAGCTTCCGCGAGGACGCGCCGCGCCCTCCGGTGCCCGGGGAGGAAGGGGAAGGCCCGCGCCGCGTGGCCACGGAGGTCCCGGTCCCAGTCACGCTCACGCTCCCGGTCCCGGTCCCAGGCTGCAGCGCGAGCCGGAGGAACGAGGACGGCCTCGGGGAGCCTGAGGGCAGCGCCTCGCCGGACTCTCCTCTGGCCCGCTGGACCAAGTCCCTCCACCTGCTGCTGGGCGACCAAGACGGCGCGCACCTCTTCAGGACGTTCCTGGAGCGCGAGAAGGGCGAGGACGCGCTGGACTTCTGGTTCGCGTGCAACGGCTTCCGGCAGATGGACCTGAAGGACGGCAAGACGCAGCGCGTGGCCAGGGCCATCTACAAGAGGTACGTGGAGGCCAGCGGCGTGGTGGCCGAGCAGATGAAGCCGGCCACCAGGAGCTACATTAGGGACAGCATCAAAAAGCAACGCATTGACTCGGCCATGTTCGACCAGGCACAGACCGAGATCCAGGCCACCATGGAAGAGAAAGCCTACCAGATGTTCCTGACCTCGGACATTTACCTGGACTACGTGCGCTCCGGCTGCGAGAACGCAGCGTACGTCCACCAGAGCGGCCTGGCGGGTCTCAAGGTGATGTGCGGCTACCTGCCCCCGCTCATCGAGGACAAGGAGTGGACCTGCGGAGACCTGAAGGCCAAGGCGCTGGCTACCGTGGTGGGGCTTTCGGCCAAGAGCCTGCGGGCCACCATGACCCTAAGGACCACGGAGGGTCTGGAGCGCGGATGCAGGTAGAACTTTCAGATGGGATGGTATTACTTCTCACTTTAGCCTCTTAAGCCTCTTTAGCCTTATACCTCACCCACATAACTACATCACCTATATGGTAGTAATTACCTATTAATATGTAGTAGTTACTATATAATAAGCCTTATTAATGGACAGGTTATGTATCGCTGGTTGATGTGTTGTCTATTAGTGTCACAATGATATTGCTCAATAACAAAAAACATAAGCAGTTGCAATACACGTCGTTAGATTACTTTAAATTGTTTTTAAACGCATGTTCATTTACAATGCTTTGGTTCTCTTTGGTGCAGTTTAAAGAGAACAGTCTGATCTAAACAAGCTATATCAGATTTATAAGACATTCTCTTTAGCATAGAGTAGCAACACTTAGCAATGAGCTCATTGGCTCTATTAAAGAAGCTTAGATATCTTAGATATTGCCAGGTGTCATGATATTCGTTTTTATCTAGAATACATTAGAACATATAACAGCTGGTGACTTATATGTACATAATGGGTGGTAGTAATAACACACTGGCTGGTAAAACTTATTTCCACAGTTTTACCATTTAGCGAAAAGTGAGCAAAGACACCAGAAGCTTTAGAGCTTTGTTCGGATTACAGATGGTTGTGAGAGACCACTCTGTGGTTCGAAACATACATGTATGATTGCGGTCCCCATATGAACAGCTGTATGGCTCCGTATGTTGCCTACAATATGTTAAAAATATCACGATTTTTGACAACATGTCCTTTATACACAATATATATCACAGTATTTTATTTTTCTGAAGTCAGAACAGTAGTAGTGGCAAATATACTACACAAAACTATACATAAACCATGAATACAGTGGTGTTTATTTAATGATTCAGGTACTGCACATGCAGTTGGTCAGTGTTACTGATATGCTCAGAAGGTGTATAGTGGCGCATTGTGACATAATTTACCACAATACAATAAAATATTGTCATATTGCCCCTCCATCTATATGTTTATACGCTAGTGGATACATTGTTATACATACATAGTAACTTGTATGTAGGGAATCTATTAAACGCAGTCAATTTGTTTGGAGAGTTTTAAGTATGTGTGCATGTATTTAGCCCTTTGTGGGGACCAAATGATGAAGACATGAACTTTTTGATGTTGCCTGCTCCTCACAAGCGCAGCGGCATGTACACAAATTCATAAAGAGGCGCATTCATACCCCACGCAAAGCCTAGAACGCACAGCACGTAACACTTAAACGTTACGGTTTATTTATATAGTGGCTTCTCAAACCCCAAGTCGCTTTAAAAACCCCGTAAACAGAACACTTTAGAATTAAACATAGCAAACCAGAGACAAAATAAGAGTCTCTGTGAGAGACACTCCATCTCACCCCCTCTCTCTCTCGCTCTCGCTCGCTCGCGCGCACACAAACGCATTCTCTCGCACTTGAACTGCAGAAGGGAGATATTTTAGTTTTTGGTCCAAGATGAAAGATAAGCCGTTTGAAGGAAGCCTTTGTGTTCTGTCGTACAGACAAACTTTCCAAAGCGCTGTCTCGCAGCTGCACCAGCCTGACACTGAGGGTTGTGTAAAAAGCCGGGAGAAAAAAAAAAGTAGTTTTGGGGTTTTTCTGCATGATTTTCAATCAAAGGCTGGTTTTAATAGGACTGACCGAACTGGTCTTGGTACATCCACACAATAAAGCAGCGGACATCTGGAAACAATTACAGTGCAATGCACTTGAAGTTCCCCCCAACACCCCCCACCTCCCCCACCCCAGTTTCTTTTGTTGTGTCTTAAGACAAATCAGAGGGAGTAAACAGAACGCGTCCTCTCCGCTCTCCGCTCCAGCAGCGCCGCGGCTCTTTTTTTTTGGGGTGGGGGGAGGATTTTAAAAGTGGGCAGATGAATACTGCTCTAAAGCTTAAGCAAGAACCATGACCAAACGGTTTCAGACCGTGTGTGTGCGCGCGCGTCTCCGTGGAGACAAAGTGTCCTGCTGCTGCTGTTATGAAGACGATGGGGGTTTAGCTGACATGAGGGCATCTCCTGGTGTTTTCTCTAAGAGAGTTAGAGAGAGAGAAAAGGAAAGGAAAGGGAGAGAGAATGAGAGGAGAGAGAGAAAAAGAGAGAGAGAGGGAAGCCAGTGAAAGAAAGAGAAGTCAAGAGAAGTGAGGGAAAAAGTAAGAAGAGAAAGAGAAGGGAATGGGAAAGAGGGGTAGAGAGAGAGACTGGAGAGAGAAAGATAAAAGGAAAAGGGAGAGAGAGAGAATGAGAGGAGAGGGAAAGAGAGAAGGACAGAGAGCGAAAGAGAGGGAGAAAGAAGAAAATGGGAAAGAGAGGGAAAGAAGGAGGGGAGAGAGAGAAAGAGAGAAGAGTAATAAAAAGAAAAAGAAAGGAAAGAGACTGAGGAGAGGGAGAAAGAGAAGAGAATGGGAAAGAGAGGGAGAGAAAGATAAAGCAAGAGAATGACAGGAGCGAAAAAGAAAGAAGAGAACAAGAGAGATTGAGGAGTGAGAGAATGAGAAGGAAATGGGAAAGAGAGAGAGACTAAATGAAGATAGAAAGAGAGGGCGAGATAGAGAAACTGAGGAGGGAGAAAGATGAAAGGAGGAAAAGGGAGAGACACTGAGAGAAGAGAGAAAGAAAAAGAAAGAAGGGAAAGAGAAAGGAGTAATAAAGAGAGAAAGAAGGGAAAGAGAGACTGAGGAGAGGGAGAAAGAGAAGGGAATGGGAAAGAGAGGAGAGAAGGAGACTGTGGAGAGAGAAAGATAAAAGGAGAAGAGAGAGAGAGAGAATGTCTGAGAGGAGAGAAAAAGAGAGAGAAAGAGCAAAGAGTAATAAAGAGAGACCGAAGGAGGAGAGAGAGACTGAGGAGAGGGGAATGGGAGAGAGAGGGAGACTAAACAGAGAGAGAAAGATGAAAGGGGGAAAAGGGAGAGAGACTGAGAGGAGAGAGAAAGAAAGAGAGGAAGAAGGGAAAGAGAGGCACTGAGGTAAAAGAGAGAAAGATTGATAACAAGAGGAGCGAAAGAGAGGGAGGGTTTTTTTTGGGGGGGGGGTGCCTCCCCTTTCCCCACGGTTTGAGCCAACTCTGTGTCTGTGACGGAGTTTTTATCTGACACATGTGGAACTAATTTCAAGCCCCCTCTCAGACCCCCCCCCCACACGCAAACTAACTCAGAGCAGGACTCTCTAAAGCGGCCTGGCAGAACTGCTTTTTTCCTACAGGACTGTATCTGCTGCTTTTTTGGCTGTTTCTGCTTCTGCTGCCTTTTATCTCCTCTGTCTGAAAAATCCCTCTGACAGAGACTAAGCCAGGTTGAGAGAGAGAGAGAGAGAGAGAGAGGATAGGAAAGGGGGAGGAGATGATGAAAGAAGGGAGAGAGAGAGAGAGTAGAGTAGGAGGTCAAGGCCTAAGGCTTTAGTCATGCTGTGTCCCTCTTTTTTCCCCTCTGCCCCTCTTTCTTTCTTTTCTTCACTCCCTCTTTCTCCCTCCATTCCTCACTTATTTCCTTTTTTCTGCCCTCTCTCCTTTCCTCTGTCTTTCTCTCTTTCGCATGCTCTCATGTCTTTTCTGTTTTTCTTCTTCCTCTCATTTCCTTCCTCTCTTCTTTTTCTCTGTTTCGTTCCTTTCCTCTGTTCTTTCTTTCTCCTTCTCACTTTCTCTGGCCTTCTCTTTTCTTTCTTTCTTTCTGTTTCTCTCTGTTTCTTTGCTTTCATCTGTTCTCTCTCTCTGTTTCTTTTTTCTCTGTCTCTCTCTACTTTCTTGCTCTCTTCCTTTCCTCTCTCCTTCTCTATTTCTTTCCTTTCAGCTGTTCTCTCCGTCCTTCTCTCTCTCTCCCTTGCTCTGCCTTTTCTGCACATCTCTTACTGTCTCTCTTTCTTCTCTTCTTTCTCTCTCTCTCTGTCTTTGTTTCTTTTTCTATTTCTTTCCTTTCCTCTGTTCACTCTTTTTCCTCTCTTCTGTCTCTCACTCTCTTCCTTTCCTCTTTTCTTCTCTCAAGCTTTCATTTCTCTTCTCTTTCTTTATCTCTCTCTCTCTCTCTCTCTCTCTCTCTCTCTTTTCACACATGGCTTTGCGTAGTAGGCATGTCTCATAAAGTTCAGCTCTCTTTTCTCTCCCCTCCCCTCTCTCTGTCTCTCTCTCTCTCTCTTTGCCAGGAATGCAGCACAGCAGGAGAGAGGAGAAAGAGAAAAAAAGGAGAGAGAGAGAATAAGGGAGGGGGTTAGAGGAGTGGAAAGAGGGGAGAAAGAAAGCGAGGCTTTAGAGAGGAGAAAAGTGCGGGAAGCTTCACCCAAACCAAATAAGAGAGGTGGGGGTCTGTAGACAGCAGAAGAAGGGTGAAGGGGAAGTGCTTGTTGGTTGTTGACACACTGAAGCTGCCCTAACTTTTCCTCCTCCTTTCTTCTCCGCGGGGGTGGACGCTGACAGAGAGAAAGCTTATAAACACGGCCGATAAAGCCTCCGATAGCCAGCCGCCGTGAGGGCTCTGAGCAGCTCCGTAACGCTGAACAATGATGGGAAAGGTCATGGTGAAGGAAGAGGTGTCGCAAAGAACGTAACGTGTCAGCTCAACAGTTCAGTTAGAGAGTTAAAAAGTTAAAACTTTGGTTTGTCAGAAACTTTTTTTAATTAGAAGAGTTTGATGTAGTATGTAAACACATTTAAAGTTCCAAAACTGTTCATACAGTCCAGATATGGAAACTAAGGAGCCTGTTTTCAGCTTAGTTTTTGTGATGTCACAAAAATCAACACATTCGTACACATATATTTATTCACGTATTCAGTTGATAGCAGTTTAGCCCCGCCCGTTCATGCTGAAGTTACAAGGAGTGTTTCACCCTAGACTGCTTTTTGTATGAGACATAGTACAGGACAGCCAATCAGAACATAGCTCATTTGCAAATGCAATCCTTAAAGGCACGGTAACAAAAACAGCCTGTTTAATTTGAAAGGAAAAACGATTTATGGCGTATTATATATTAACTATGATGAATCTGTAGTTATGAGAGTGAGGACCCACATATAAGGGTTTAAGGGGGTTAAATTCAAAATACATAAAGACGATTAATATGTAAACTTAAGACAAAGCAAAAATATAACGGCATGATACACTTTCATGATATACAAACCCCTTTGATAAGTCGAAACAGACAAAAAAAGTGCTACATCTTAATAAATAATATCAAACTATGAATACAAATATTGTAATTTACATTTCACATACTGCACTAAATCCACATAAACAGGACTAAGAATGCTTTCTTTGTAAGGAAACTTGCAGTCGGTCATTGTTTTTAAGTACTGGCAGTACTCTACAATATAGTCCGACAAGCATAATATGACATAATTCATCACAATAACAATAAAATATCGTCATGTTGCCCAGCCCTAGCTTACACTCATTTAAAAAGGTTAAAACGTTTGTCAACACATACTATACATACATATCATGAACCTCACACTATATAACAACTAGTTTCATAAAAGTACCTGAATAGTAAGTCTCAGAGTTAATAACTCTATAATAGAGCCTATGGTTTAATGAGTTAATCAATTCAACAAAAATGTAATGGTGGTACTGATGTATTTGATGGTGTAACTGTAATCAACATATTCAGTTTCTAATATTAAACAGCTCAAACATCAATGTCCACATCCTCAGGCTTATTTTCCAGTAACTACATGGAAAACAATGCAAAGTTATTGTTGTTGTTAAGTCAAAGGTGCAGGGAAATGGAAATTTAGACATTAATAACACGTTCTGCTGTTGTGTTCTCAGGGCTCAGAGACGGGGCGACCCGGCCAGTCCATACTTTGTGAACTCGGGTCATGTTTTTGCACCAGCCAGCAGCGCTAACGACAGTGAAGTGTCCAGCGATGCCACCACGGATGACTCCATGTCCATGACAGACAGCAGCGTGTAAGTGCCCTGAATGTTTTTTGTCATTTGTTTTTTTTTTTATTGGGGTTAACATTAACACTGTTGGAGGAAAACAGTCCCAGATGTCTGTTATTAAGATGCTGGTAAGCAGGGATTAATAGAGCAGTAAGGATAGTTGTGAAAGTGTTAATAGGACCATCTCTCATTGGTGGACGTGGTGAGAGTCCTAGTGTTGATCTTCAGTTGAGTGGTGAGGAAAGTGGGATTAGATCCTGGATTAGCATTACAGAGTTTGCATAGTGTTACAAACGCAGTAAAATGAATAAAATGCAGATATTTAAGCGCAGTAACCCAGTGTGGCTTTAATGTTCTGCTTTTCTGCTGTACAATAAATACATCATCAATTATCGTTCAGATCGAAATGATATGATTGTAAGCAATTGTCTGCTGATAGTGATATTCTGATATTATCATGCATCCACAGTAGACCGGCTTTGGATGGGCGCAGAGCACTAGCTTAGCATTAGCGAATTAGCTGGTTGTAGCATGTTATGGTGTTTAAGATGATTTTTTTTCTTTCCCCAAACTTTCTATGAACTCTTAAGCAGCGTTCTCACAAATTCATTAGGTTTCTCTTTTTTGATCCCAGCCCAGCAGCCTATTTTCGAGTGTTTGTCTGTTTTTCTCATCACTATCTCACTGTTTCCTCTTCACAAATCTGCGCAGCAAAATTAGCTGTTTGGTCTTAAGTCTATCTCAGTGAGAGTTTTTTGTTGGGGGGGGTGTGGTGGATGGGTTTGGCATGGCATGAAAGTGGGGCTTACCCGCTCAGTGTTGCCGCGGTTTCTTCCCAGCAGCCCTAGCGTGATGAGATCAAGTGTCAGAGCGCGTTTAGTTTGGAGAAACGGGCGGTGGGGTTGGTGGTAGACGAGCGTTTCTCATTCCTGGACTCATGGACAGCTCACCTGGGGTTTCCAATACTAGGATTAGCATCGCACTCCCTCATCATGAACCCTCCAACACCCCCTCTCTCCCCCCCGCCTCATCCCGCCCCCCCTCTGTTTTTCAAAGGAGACTTGCGTGGTAGCAGGGAGCCACAGAGAAGGGAGTGAGGAATAAAATGTGTGGAGGATGAAAGGCTTAGCTGAATGGCGCTCTTGGCCCATTGTTCCGCTCACAGAGCTTCGGAGAAGGGGGGCAAGAGGGAGTCTGACTGCTTTGAAAATTAGTTGCACAACTGAATCATTTGGGGTGCGGTGAATGCGGGGGGGGCATACACTGAAGAGAACGAGTGTCTCAAAACACTGGTTGTTTTTTCTTTAAAAACAAAAAAAATGTAAAACTTTGCTAAAGTAACTGGGCGTCTGCGTCGCTAATCTGTCCGTTTCTCACTCAAAGCACTAGTTCCAAAAATGCTAACACGGCTAATAGGAACTGAAAGCCGCTAGCCGCTAATTAGCATGATGTCATTTGCATAATGCTAATTAGGGGGCTACTCGGCCCTCGCCCATTATTAGCCACGTTAGCGTGAGAAATTTGATTTCGATCAGACCGCTACTCCATTAAAGGAGTCGTTCTTCACCCAGATATGCTAATGTGGCTAACTGTGAATGAAAACTGAGGGTGGCCAGGTAACGTGACCTCATTTGCACAGCATAACTGACCCCCCTCTAGCCTTCATTCATGGTTTTGCTTTAAAACAAGGAGTTGATTTCGATCAAACTGCCACATTAAAGGAGCATCATTTCTTCTAGCAGACACTAACAAAGCTGGTGACCAGCATGATTTGCACATTGACTCCCGCTAGCCTCCCCTCATTGTTTTACTCTAATGGAGTAGTTTGATTTTGATCTGAACTGCTCCATGACCTTCAAGCAGACATGCTAATGTGGCTAACACTGAAGAAAAACAGCTGGTGACCAGGTAGCATGACCTCATTTGCACATCATAACTCACCCCCACTAGCTTTCATTCATTGTAAACAGTCTGATTAGCATTTTTGTGGAGAAACTACTTTTAATACATGTTAATAAAAAGTCAGATTTTTTTCCATGACTGGAGTTATCCAGGGTTTTTGGTTAACATAGCAACCAGTGTTGACCAAAGGAGCCATCGTATGGCTAATTAATGTGCTTTTACATTAAATTACTTGAGGAAAATGTAATACAGTGCACGCTTTGCTGCACAAACTAAGCTGTATGTCGCCGTAAGTAAACACTCTGCATGGTTTTCTCCTTTAGATGATTACCACTATTTTCCTGTTTCATTTTTTTGTTACTTTACAGATGAGTTAAATCACAGAGTCCCATTTTTATGCAAGTAACTGAATCTCTGTGATAAACTTGTATTGAAAAAAGGCTCCTGCCAGGCTTGCCCACAGATGGCTGGACTCTAATAATCTCTTCTGGCCCTTTCTCCTCCTGCCGAATGAAATCATTCTTGCTCCTGTCCCATTGTGAGGACAGTAGGATTTTTACGACGCTTATAAGACGCAGCACACATTTGAATCTCGGTACGAGATAAAGGAAAAAAAAGGAAAGGTTTGGGGAGGGGGGACTGATCACCCCCCCTTCCTTGCTTATATCTTATTTATGGATTTACTTGGACTCTGGGGAATGCAGCAGTGCCAACTTCAAACATTACCTTATCTTACAAACCAACCTTTTGATGTTAGTGAGATCTGAGGAGCCGCGAGAGGCTGTTGCCAAATGAAGATGGCAGGGAGCGCATATGCGCATGAGTGTGAGATTTCAAAGAGGGGAGAGAGAGAGAGGGAGAGAGAGAGAGAGAGAGAGAGAGAGAGAGAGTGTATGGGATAGGTCAGACTCTTCACTCTTCGGAGTTTAGATGTAAATAGCGTCTGACTGAAACAGCGATTCTGGGCTGATGGAAACGAGTCCGGACACGGCGAAATTACGCGTCAGAAATGTGTCGTTTAGTGTGTTTAATCATAAAAGAGGGAAATATGAGGTTTGTGCTCCAGAGTGTGAACAGCCTGCGGTTAGTGCACTGTGCTTATCATATTAGTTCTGGCGAAAAGTTGGCTTAAACTGCTTAACAATGATTGTCAACAAACCCAGTTTTAAGACAATAACTTAAACGTTAAAACTTCAATAACATACATTCACTGCCTACATTCTCTACTCCAGAAAGATCTTGTCAATAAAGGAGATTTATTTATAAGAAGATTTTTCTAAATTTCTGCGTAAGTCAGTGGTTGAGATGTGAGTCTTTCAGAGTGGTTTGATGTTAAATGGTTCATTGTTAAGAAACTTACAGACTCTGATTTTTTTAACAGCGGTGGTGATAGGAACCAGAGGTCTACAAAGCAAAAAATACCCAATTTATTTACTATCCAAAACCACCAGTGAACCTACATGTCTTCTGAGATTTTACATGTGACATTGATGATGATAACATAGTGGTAAATCTAAAACAAGTAGTTTTCTTTGTGAAGCATTTTGTCTTACAGTGCCAATGTTTTAGGCCAAAAAGTTCTCAAAACTATGGTAAAACAGTGTCTCAGACATCAGGCAGTATATATAAGCATTTTATGTAGTAACTTGAAGTGAAGGAGCTTTTAGAGGTGGACGTCTGGTTCCTATCACCACCACTGTGAACAGTTCTGACTCTGTAAGTTTCTAGAACAGAGCATTTCACATGAGACCACTCTGAATGGCTTTGTTTACATTTTAACCATTTAATAATACAGAAATTCTGAAAAATTAGTGCCTTTAAGCCTCTTCACATTCAACAGCGTGTTTTCAGGATTAGCCATTAGAAAGTGAAGCCCGCTGTCTTGGTGTTTGTTCCGTGTGGTGTTGGTGGGTTGCTCCAGCCTTTGATTCCTCTGTGACGCCCTCAGCAGGGGAGAGGGCTAATGTTGACGTCGCTTTCGTCACTTCAGGCAGTAAACGGTGGCCCCCAGGGGCCCATCAGAGGTCATTAAGCCCATCTGAGGTGTGTTGTGCTGCTAATGTCCTTAATGTTGGAGAAACTGAAATGGCTGGGGGTCAGTGGAGGTGGTGGTGGTGGTAGGGGCAGTGTTGACGGAAGAGTTACTGAAGTTCTTCGTCAGGGGAGAAGGTCGTGGTATGTGCCCATCAAAGCAAGTTTCCCCTCTCAGAAATGTTTTTGAATAATAAAAGATAATGGGTCAGCAAAGCGTTTCCAAGCCAAACCAGCCCTCCTTTTGTTCTCGTAGGAGTATTAGTTTTGAGTACGAAACTCGATGCTCTGTTTAGTCTGAAGTTGAAAAGTTTTTTTTTCTTTTTTTTGATATTATTTTGGGTGTCCATGATTGGGTCTTTTAAAGCGTACTTTTGTTTTCCGACAGAGATGGGATTCCTCCGTACAAGCTGGGCACGAAGAAGCAGCTACAGCGGGAGATGCACCGGAGCGTCAAGATCAACGGACAAGTTTCGCTCCCCCACTTTCCCGTAAGACTCGTCCCTCTTTTTCCCCTACATCCTCCACTTCTCCCGCCGCACTCCCAGATCAATGGCTCCCACTGCCAGCTGGGTCCTTCTCCCCATGTGGGAATGGTGTTTTATTTTTCCGAGCTCATGTTTTGACAGAATATTATATTCTTCCGCTTCCCTCATTTTCATATAAAAGACTATAAATGAAAGACAGTATTAGCATATGAATTTTTTTCTCCACTCTTTCAAACCCTCCCCCTCCCCCCTGCCTCAAGTATCTCTATAGATGTCAGGAAATAAACCTACCGATGCTTTTGCACCCCAGCGCTTGTGTGGCGATAGGAAGGTTTCATTCTGATTAGTTCTAATTCTAGAGCCTGAGTTAGATTCTAGAATTAGTCTACAGTTCTGATTCTAGAATCTAATTCAAGTTCTGATTCTGCAGCCTGACTCTGGTATTGATTCTAGACTCTAAATCCAGTTCTGATTCTAGAATCTGACACCAGTTCTGATTCAAGCATCTAAATCCAGCTCTTTTCTAGAATCAAAATCCATTTCTCTGATTCAGATTCTAGAATCTGACTCTGAATCTGCTTCTGACTCCAGTTCTGATTCTAGCCTCTAAATCCAGTTCTATTGTAGAATCTAAATCCATTTCTCTAATTCAGATTCTAGAATCGGACTCTGATTCCTATTCTAGAACCTGACTCCAGTTCTGATTCCAGAACCTGACTTCAGTTCTGATTCTAGCCTCTAAATCCAGTTCTATTGAAGAATCTAAATCCATTTCTCTATTTTAGATTCTAGAATCTGACTCTGATTCTGTTTATAGACCTGACTCCAGTTCTAATCCTAGAACCTGAGTTCAGTTCTCATTCTGGAATCTAACCCCAGATCGGACTCTAGTTGTAGATCCAGATTAGAGGTGCCAAAATCTACCGACCTGCAGAGTTTAGTGCTAGAACTACTAAATGTGGTAAAAAAAGGTTCTTTGAACTGATACCATAGAAGAACCAGATGGATGGTTCCCGAGAGACAATGTGAGATGTACAAATATGAAGAACCTTTTTTAAATGACTTCTACAAAATACAAAGGTTCTGTCCCAGTCAAAAGGCTTTTTCTCAAGCTAAGAACCATTTAGGAACCCTTATGTGTAAGAGTAGATCAGATTGGGCACCACTGTTCTAGGCTGGTCTCAAAGGTATGATGCAATGGGGGCGGGTGATGTTCCAGAGGTCAAGTGGTCAGGATCTGGAAGCGAGAGCGGTAGCTGATGCTCGGCGAATCAGCCGGCTAACTCCCCCCACCGACTGGCCTTTGATCAGAGGCTGAATGCAGGCAGCTTGTGTGTGGCTTCTTTGGTGACAACCTCCAGCCGAGAAACCCCCCCGCCTCTTCTCTCTCTGCGTGTTTTTGTCGCAGTAAACCCCCCCTCCTTGCTGCCCCTCCCCCTGTCCCCCCTCTCTCTCTCTCTGATCTCCCCATGGTGTAGGGCTCAGCGGGCTATGGGAGTGCGTTTGGTAGGAGGAGGAGGGCTTTTTTTTTTTTTTTGAAGCTGCAGCTCATGAGTTTTTGCAGCGTTTGGTGAGGTCGAAGGTTGCAGTGGCAGAAAACAGGCAAAGTCACTTTTTTGTGTGGATGTGTGTTTTTTTTCCTCCTCGCTCTTCCTCTCTTTCTTTTTTTAATCTCTCCCCCCTGATTTTAGGCTTATTCTCCCATGATGCACTGGGCCCCAGGCAGCAGGGGCCCCATGCAGCCGGCAGAGGCTCTGGCCGGAAGCTTCTTTTTCTCTCCTTTTCTCTTTCTTCTCCATTTCATCCATTCATCCTCGCAATGAGGTAGAAGACCTTCACAAAACAAAAGTATAAAAAAAGAAAAGTTTGCAAAGAACACTGAAGAAAATAGATTTTCTTTTTCTCTGCCATGTCATCCGTTCTTCCTTGCAACAAAGGAAAGATATTAAAAAAGAATAAATCAAAGAAATGAAAAAATGACAGGAAAAAAACAGGAAACTGCATCAGTTTAAAAATGTCCCAGTGTTTACAAAGGATTCTGGGACAACTGTACTGTACTGAGGTGTTGTATACTCGTTCATCTTTCCTTCTCTTCCGTTTGTCTTTGCCACAAAGAAAAGGAACCACACAAAAAAGGTAAAAGTAGTAAAGCAAAAAACAGGAAACAGCGTCAGGATTCTGGGACGACTGTACTGTACTGAGGTGTTTTATACACAGTGGGGAAACAGATTACCGCTCCTCTCTCTGATCTCTGTGGTCCTCGGCTCCGCTCTCCGTCCCTCCATCCCTCCCTCCATATCGCCCTCCATCCTCTTCCTCCTTTTTTTCTCCTCTTCTTTTAATTTTGTCCCCCTGCTCCTTTTTTTCTGTCTATCTGGCTTTTATTCTGAGATTTAAAAGCCTGTCCCCCCTCCCTCACCCCCACTCCTTGCGTGTGTTTGATGTTTGACAAGGGTTCTTTGAAGCTGGCTGACTTCAGAGCCTCCACGCTGATGGCATGGGTGGTGTGTGTGTGAGTGCATATGTGTGTGTGTGTGTGTGTGTGTGTGTGCGTGTGCCGGTCCAGCTTTTGCCCAAGGCTGGCAGTACTGTTGGCAGTTGGCATTAAAGGAGGAAGAGGAGAGGAGAGAGATGAAGGGTATTCGAGGATTCAGGGTCAGTGCAAGAGCTTAGGTTCTAGGTGGAAACACTAAGAAATGTACAGACATATGTGCTGTATATCAGTTCCACTCTGTTCTCTGTTGGTCTCCAGCTTTATTCCTGGAAAGCCACATAACTGCACAGTTTAGCACACTTGATATAGGAACTGTTGGAGCTGAATTAGTTGTACCTGAGGAGTTTGTGTAATGTAATTTGTTAGGATTTGATTGATTGGTTTAAGATAAAATATCTGTGTAATTTCCTAGAATTTTCTCAAATAGCCTGGATTGAAAGCACATAGGCCAAATGTTTACACCAGCGTCACACCTCAGGGCGCACTCAATAACAATGACAACATGGCCGAATTAGCACGTTTAGGCAGCTTTTGTTATTCCATTAGGGTTAAGTGAAGACCATTCACTCCACATCAGTTCAGATTCATACTGGACTAAAATCACTCCACAGTGTTACTCCCAGACTGCAAAACTACACACACTGAAGATTCATACTGGATTAAAATCACCCTGTCGGTAATCACTTAAATTACAGAACCTCCCTAGATAAAACTAATCCAGCTCCAATAGAGCTTTAATCTATTAGCCAATTATGAAATCCTTCAGCTATCTACACCTCCCTCTTCCACTCTAACTCATTCTCTCCTGTGTTTTTGGTCCACAGAGAACACACCGGTTGCCGCGAGAGATGGCTCCAGTAGAGCCGTCCGCGTTTGCTGCGGAGCTGATTGCTCGGCTGGAGAAGCTGAAGCGCGAACAGGACACGCTCAGCTGTCTGGAAGAGAGACTGCAGCAGATACAGGAGGTGAGGAATAGAAACCATGTGTCTCTTTATGTTACTTTAGGTCTGTACACCCAAGATGGATTAATGGATTATCCCATTAACACAGCAAAATAATTTTGGCAGGGCAGGGCTGCATTCAGCCTTGTCACATCACAGATTCTCTATTATGGTTTTAATGTATTGCAAAGTATATCACAACTTGTAGCAATATCAGAGCAATAAGATGTTTTGTTCATGTTGTGCAGCACTATTAAATATTATAAGGTTATTAAGCAGCAGTATCCCATCTGTTTGCTAGAAACATCTATCAGTGCCTGATGGTGTCCATGCACAGCTCACAGCCACACCTCATCATGCTTAGCCTTGTAATCAAAGGCTGACAAGCTTCTTTTGATGGAGAACCTGAGGGCAGCTCTTCTGCTAAGTGCCTAGGCCTCACTTCTCAGCCCCTTGAGTCATGTGACCTGTGACCCTTGAACTGCGTAACACTTTATTAGAAGTGTGCACGTTAAGGAAAGAAACATAGCTATGTGTCTTAGACAGACAGCAATGTTGTCTGATCATTAAGTGCTCATTAGGAAGCTGATGGATCAAAGTGTGGAGAATTAGAACTGCCCTCAGTTTGGAGCCTTAAAATTAGAAATCTCAAGCACATGAGGTCAGGGGCACTTAAAAGACTATATTTACTATTATCATTTTTGATATGTTTTTTATACGCAATTACATAATTACATTATTATAGCTGGTTACATAATGAAGTACATTTCATCTACATTCTGCATTAACCTCAAGACTGACTGTTTTCCACTAGTCTTGATGTCAAATTATGACAAAAAAACAAAGCAGACGTGTAAAGGATGTTTTTTTTTTTTCACAAAACAAGACATTATGGCATTTCATCACATTCAAATCATAGCAAATTGTTATCTCGTTTACTTATAAACTCAAATGTGGCATGGATTGAAACTTCAGCATCTGCATTTTCACACAATTTCTACTTCTCAACTTTGGAACTGAGAAATAATTCATATAAAAAATAACATTCATCCCGGTTGCTGGAGTTGGCTTAACCCAAGTCTTGACGTATGATGTATGCTCCATAGGAAGAAGAGCGAGATGAAAGTGAGTTAGCAGGCCCCCAGCAGCCTCCCCCCTCCCTCAGCCTCCTCCCGTCCGGTTTCTGTGAGGAAGACCCTCAAGCCATCCTGGACGAGCATCTCTCCAGGGTCCTAAAGACCCCCGGCTGCCAGTCCCCTGGCGTCCCAATCTATTCCCCTCGCTCACGCTCCCCAGACCATCACCATCACCACCAGCACCATCACCAGGGCTCTGGCTCCAGCCCCTTATCCACTGGACCCTACTCTATCCCGGGCAAGATGCCTCCGGCAGGCCCCCGGCCCTCCGCCAAGCACATCCACCACCATTACATCCACCACCACCACGGAGCTCCACCCAAGAGCAAGGAGCAGATCGAGGCAGAGGCGGCACATCGAGTGGCTCAATGTCTGGGGTCAGCGGGCTCAGATTACTCCTTCCAGCGGTGCCACAGTCCGGCCGAGCTTACAGCAGGGTGAGTTTCAGTAAGCACAACTACACTTGCTGCTACATATGAAATTTCTTGTATCTTGAATTATAATACTGGACAAAATAAATGTTGTTATTTTCAAACATGAAAATCCTAAAAAAGTCGTTCTACTATAGTCGCTTTTATACTTTCAGTCACATTTGTATATTGATTATTTGTATTTTTTAAATAATTTAGAACTTAACTTAAATAACTGAATTGGGCAGAATTGAATGATGGTGAAATTTAAGATTACATGATCTGAATCGAGAAACAGAATCAAAACGAATCATTGTGAGGTCAGACATTTACACTCTTATAATGTTATCTTGACTGATATCAAACCATTTTCACATGTTCCTCAGTTACAATGATGTTCAGTTTTAAGGAATATTGTTTAGAATATAATCATTATGCTGTCTTCTCCTATGTCAGTTTGGGCATTGAGTTCTAAATGTTCAGAAATTAGTGATGCTTTACTCTCAAATGCATGTAAATGCAGTGAAGATTGTTCCATAATCAGTGTTTCTTGTTCTTATTCAGGAGAACCAGCATCTTGTCTAAGCGTCCCAGTAAAGCCAGTGATGGGATGAGCGTGTGCCAGTCCAGTGGAGAGGGCAGTAGCTCCCCTCAGCTGCCCTTAGATGGTACAGACAGGTCGCAAAACGTGTGGCAGTGGATCCTGGAGAGCGAGAGGCAGAACAGGCACAAACCACACAGGTGAGTCACATGAGCGCGCTACTGCTTTAAAGTGACGAACTGGGTTATTGAGAATCGACAGGTTTTTTTGGACCATTTAGGGGTCTGTACACATTGATACATGTACACATGATATGGCCAGTTCTATAAATAAAATGAACTCAACCCATTGAAATATGCTACATTGTATATAGTCGCTGTCATAGCCAAACTTTGTATCTTCAAATTGGGCACTTTACAGTTCTCAGTTCTTAATGCATGTTTATAATAACAAGTCATTTTGGACCACTTTTCGAATGGTAACGTGTTTAGACTATTTAGTAATGCATCAGAAAGTCATGATAGACACTGTCAGCTGTAAAGTACAAGTCAGCTGTTCAGAAGGTCTCGCATAAATGAAAATATTCAACCTCTCTCCACAGTTCCCAAGGCCTGAAGAAGACCCACCCCACAGACTCATCCTCAAAAACACCTTTATGGGGCGGTGGAGGAGTAAGCGCTCATGTCCGAGGGCACCATCCAGGGCACCCTTTCGTCCAAGACCCTACTATGCCTCCTCTGCCCCCGCCGAACACTCTGACCCAACTTGAAGAAGCCTGCCGAAGACTGGAAGAAGCCTCTAAACCTGCTAAACAAAGGTACAGGAATCGGAAATTGCCATGCATGAACTTACTGTCAGCCCGGCTTAATATATTTACATTGTATTACTTTAGAGTCAGAGGGGGAACCTGCATATTTAGTTAGCACACCTAATTAGCTAATCAGAGTCAAAGCGGCTGTTTCAGGGAAAACACTAAAATGTGCAGGGCCAGCATTGAATACCACTGAATCTGAATGTTGCAAATACATTTGTCACACAATGTGTTCTGCGAACCCTGACATATACATCAGTTCCCTACTTGTGAAGTGTTCTTAGGTCTTTTCATAGCACTGACATTGTTTGACAAGACTATGGCCCAAGAACACTTCACAGTGTTATGACATTCCATTTGAAGTGTAACTGAACTATATTCTTAAGCTACTCAGAAATGTCAAAGAAAAAGTCCTGCCTAGAAGTCTCCATCGCAGTTTGTTTCACGATTATTTGGAATCTGTCAGCTCCGTCTCTTCTTCTAACACATAACTCTATCTCTTCAACCCGCAGGCACTCAGCATCCAGCCTGCAGAGAGAAAGAGTGCATCCGTCTCTTTTTCCCAACAGCAGCTCCCCTCTCATCAGCCCTGCCCTGCAGATGGATGAGTACGTATTTACTTCATTTCTGTTCTAACCTTTATTTAAGGCGAGCAGGAATCATGATTTTGGCACGGTCAATCATTTTTCAGACCTATCACATATCTCCTCTTAAACTTTAATCATAAAAATGTCAAAATTGAACAGAAATGTGTTCATTTCAGCATGTTGACTCAATTCATTCTACTCGCATCTAACTCTTCCAAAAAGTCACAGTAAGGCTTGGCTCCAACAACACCGCTCACACAAATAGTGTATTTCAAAAATCATTTTTTTTCAAAATCAGCTTTTCTGTACAATCAGAAACAATAATCTCAGCTTCTGAAACACCTGCGTCCATTAAATTGTACCACCTCTTTTTTAACCCTATTCTGAAGGATATAGCAGAAGGATTTCTCTATCGTAATGCTAGATTTTGTACCACAAAATGACCTGAAATACATTTTATAATAGCAATACATTGTGTTTTCTGGATAAAATAATAAAACAAATCGGTTTCATTATGTCTTCACAATGAAATAAACATTTAAGTAGATAATGTCTCATTTGCATATCTAAATATAATATTTTGCTAAACTTCCAGTACAAAAATACTTGTAGGAATAGTAATCAGCTGGCAACACTGATTCATGCTGATTCATTGTGATGTCTATCATGCTAAAAATTGACCCTATTCACCCATAGTGTCTTGCCTTAAACAGGCTATCCAAAAACACAAATAATTAAGAAGAGTCTTCTCTAAGCGTGACTCTTTATTGTGTGTGTGTGCTATGTGTGTCCTCCCCACACAAAGGAGCTCCGCGATTCAAGTTGCAGACAATAAAACTGGCCTTCTAGTTTTAACAAGCCCTGCAATATTTTTGCCACTCATCTCGATGTTCTGCGGCTCCGTTTGATGTTTGGCCACAGCCACCTGACACACAAACACATTCGCAGGCTCTTCTGAGCTTTAATTGGCTGACCTTTAGCCGGCCAGCTGTCTCAGGGTGAAGCATCGCCATCTGAAGCCGCGCTAACAAAGCCCTGGAAGTGAATGAAAAGCTTCACGGCTCTATTGGGCTGGGCTTGCCCTTTGGCCACCCCCGTGACACATGTTGGTCCAGTCCGGCCTCTCCGAGCCTGCCAATGCACCACTGTGCACAGGTTGAGCTGGACCGTGGCGTGGATGGGGAGGGAGGTGGAGGGTGGGTGGAGAAAGGACGAATCAAAAGCCTGTTGGGGTCTCTTAGCAAGTGGTCTGATGATTTGTGCAAAGACCAGTCATTGACACAAAGCCCCATCATCCATCAAACGTGGGCAGCGCTGCCAGAGCCATCTCACTCAGCACAACAGCCCTGCACCGCCTTCACATGAAAGCTAATCACACGTTCCACACTTCTCAGCCTCGATTGTCTTTGCTTCACTCACCAAGGACGCGCCTTCCCGGGTTAAGGAAAACTGGCTCGGCTAGTGTGGAGTTGAGTGATTTCTGCCCAGATTGCAAATAGTGAAAAATGTACAACTGAATGTGTTGAATGGCATAGCAGCTTCACAGCTCTCAGTGCATTACAGATCGTCCTGAAAATGGGGTACTTTGGATATAGTGATTCTTTAGGATGAATATTGCTGGGCCTAATATCAATATTTAGTAATTAACTTACAGTTTTTTTGCCTCTGGACCAGCACTTCACAGTGTATCATTCATCAACAGCAATACTGATGATGTCACAAAATGCTGTAATATACAGTTGTTTTTACCATGTACTCTAAGCATCTTAACCAATTATCATGTTATAGATTGGCCTGCATTATTTGATTGTCCAGTGTGTTTTGATTATACTGCAAGATGTATTACAGTTGCAATATGAAGCAGTTTAATCACAGTACTAGTATTTTATTCATATCATGCAGCCATGTTTCCAACTAGGCCTGTCACAATCATGATGTTTTAGCTGACAGTTAATTGCCATATAAATAATTGTGATTAACAGTTTAATTGCGATTAAAGTAGAAAGCAAAATGTGCCAAAAACCGACAGATTAGCAAAACAACACACAGCTCTAAACTGACAACACAGCTGGAGCTCAAATAAACAAATGTTACTCACCGCCGCCCTCTAAAGGTGTTACAGTCAGAAGTTTAAACGTTTATGCTTTCTTCTTTCTTTTAATTGCAACTGATGACTGGTCTATTTACAACTCAGCCACTCAACACTGTATCTTTCCTCTGCAGGTGGAAGGAACAGCGGAGACCCAGTACCGGTCACTCAAGCGCCCCTTCTGGCTCAGAGCTGGTGGTCACCTATTTCTTCTGTGGAGAAGAGATTCCTTACCGCAGACTCATGAAGACCCACAGTCTCACGCTCGGTCATTTTAAAGAGCAGCTCCGAAAGAAAGGCAACTACAGGTAATACATTGTACTTTACTCATGTTTCAAAAAGAGGGTCTTTAACATGGTGGTGGTGATTATAATGGAAAAAATGACCAATGTGCCCCCATTCAAACTTGATTATGATTCGCACTGAACTATATGACATTTTGGTACAAAATAATCTCAATAGTTGAACAGAAACAATAAAAACAATTTACAAAGTTTGAAAAAGCCTGAACATTTTATTTTGATCAGTAAATGAGCAGATACATAATTATGCATAATAAAAATAGATTTTATGTATTATAATCAGTTTTAACCATCTGAAGTCAGTGCAAGTTAAACCTTTAGATCCATGCATCACTATGGAATGAGACATGTTTAAACCCCTAGTGTGCATCATAGATATAAAAGGGAAAGGCCCCTAACAGCGGGAGCACAGGGTAAGCTCACCATGGCCAAAGGAAGGGGGACGGATTGTGTTTGGTCACTGATTCCCATGCTAAGGCATTCTTAATAAGCAAGGCTTTGAAGCCCGAGCTCTATTATTTTCTGCCCAGTGAGCTGCTGTGTTTGACGGCCTCTCAGATTCCTCCCAGGATTACATCAGCTGCATCAAGGGCACCTTCTGCCCCCTCCACTAACCTTCCACAGGCGCGCATCTTCAGCATGAGAAATTTGGAACATTTACAGGGCCCCTTTTGAACTGTGCCTCGAAACGGGAGGATCTCAAACGGCAGCTTAGGACGTCTAGACAGCAGCTGAAATGCTTTCCTTTAAAGGGCCTGTATCATGGAAAACCAAATGAATTAAACACCCCAGTCCACGGGCCATATATGGTAGCTAATTCATCGTTTTGAACGTATTGTTTTTGTGACATCACAAAAACCAACTCATTTACATATATCTACCCATTGAGCCTGGTAGTAGAGTCTCAATGATCTACGTCAGTAAATGAGATGGGTCTTTTTCCTGGTCCGTCACAGGGCAGATGCGTTTACATTAAAATTGAATGAATTCTGTAGCCCTAAATGTGTGGGTTAATCTCAACATGGCAACCTTTCAACAAAGAACTGTACAGAACCAGCCGGCCAGACGATATTGATACCAGATGTGACAACGAGCTAAACGCTGCCACATTAAACGCACTTCTCTCTCACTCAGCTCTGTATATATCTCTCTCTGTTCCTCTCTCAGTATCTCTCGCTCTCTGTATCCTCCTCTTAATCTGTCTCACTCTATCTTTACTCTCTCTCTCTATATCTCTTCTTCCTCTATAGATTTTTTCACTCTCTCCTTGTTTCCTCTCTGTCTTTCTGCCCTCCTATTTTCTGTCTCACCCTTTCTGTTGGTCCCTTACTCTCTGTTTCTCTCTCTGTACCTCTTGTTCTCACTGTCCCTCTAAAAAACTTCCTTTATTCTTTCTTTCTTTCTTTCTCTTCCTTCCTCTTTTTCTTTCACTCTCTATCCTTCTCTGTTCTCTTTCTCATTCTGAACACCACCTACCTCTGTATAGATTTCTACCTCTCCTTTCTTTCTTTCTTTCTTTCTTTCTTTCTTTCATTTATTTCTCTTATTCCCCTTTATTCTTTCTTACCCTCTGTTACCTTCTTGTTTCACTTTAGCTTCATCTGTAGTTTTTCTCAGTCTGTCTTCTTTCTTTCTTTCTTTCTTTCTCTTATCCCCCTTAATATTTCTTACCCTTTGTCACTCTCTTTTTCTCTTTCCTTAGCTATTGTTCTCACTATAGCTTCATCTGTAGTTTTTCTCAGTCTATCTTATTTCTTTCTTTCTTTCTTTCTTTCTTTCTTTCTTTCCTTCCTTTTCTGTGCTCTTTCTCTTTCATTCTGAGCACCACTTGTTCTCTCACTTTCCCTTTCTAGATTTCTTCTCTCTTTTCTCCCTTTCTTTCTTTCTGTCTTTCTTTATTTATTTCTTCCTCTCTTTTTCTTTCACCCTCTATCATTCTCTGTTCTCTTTCTCTCTCATTCTTCCAGCTCTGTGCCTTTTTAGCTTTCTCTTCTCCTTTCTCTCTTTCTCTTCCTTTTTTTCTGAATATATTTCTCGCTCCGATCCTCTTTCCTCTGCTGGTGTTTTACCTTTGATCTGTAAGGGGATGAAAAACGTTGCCTAAGTCAGAAGAAGAATTTGGTAAAGGCTCTGAGGAACATGCTTATCTGTGCCAAGGTTACACAAGCTTTAAGTTATATTTGGCACCATTCAGGACCTGCAGTAGCTTATGCTTTAATTTATCTTGCTCTTGAAACTACTTAGAGTCTTCCGGCCCGTTGAAATACACAATGGACTGCGTGCATGGACTAGAGGCCCTCTCACACACCTAACCATTCCATGACTGCATCAGACTGAGTGAGACGAATTAAAAGGGGGGAAAACAGTTTTACACATACGTTGTTTGTGTGAGTTACTCAGCCTTCACTCATAAACTCGAGCAGGCTGTGGAATTCCAAAGCCACCCCACACACATGGGGCAAGTGAGCATTTTTCCATTACAAAGCCAATCATTAAATCTTCCCCGCTGATCCCTGCGCCTTTTAAAGAGCCCTCAGATCATTAAGAGCTCAGCGGAGAAAAAAGCCCAAACTCAACCTTCACTGCTGTCTGTGCAGGGGGTGGGAGGGGGCATGTGACCCTCGACCTGTTGAACACCCTTGAGGTCAGGGAGAAGCTCCCTGGGTTTACTGTCAAAAGGCCAGAGCTGCTGGCCGTATCGTTTCCAAACAGAACTGCTCTCATTCTTTGGCCACATTCAGTTCTTACGTTTGTCAGTGATAACTTGAGAAAAGCCCTCAGTTTATCCATGTGTTCATCTCCAAACATGTGACATAATTTTTAATTTTTTTTTTTATTTAACTTTTTCATGTTTCAGCATTAAAAATAAGAAACATATATTTAATAAAGAACTTAGGCCTCAACAAATAAACATAACACAAACTCATTTCGTTTTTATTGCAGCTTCTATTCTTTTCAGGAATCTTGCTTTCAATTTTTCAGAGAAATCTGCAGGGATATTTTTCCACACTTCCAAAGTTCAGTGTTAGCAGTTGGTTGCATGTGAAGCAAAAGTGGGGCTTGATTTTGGATTTTGTATCTTATTTGTGAATATTTTTTGAGAAAACTCATTTTTTGCTCAGAAACATCCCCTGAAAATGAATAAATTAAATAAAAGACTGACTTTGTAGTTAGTAGCATGTGAGCTTGTTGAAATGTCTTTGCTCCTTTTTTGCCCTGCAGTTTTGGAAATCTCAGCTGGAGAAGTAGATTTTTCGCTGTCGTTAGCAATAATGTGCACTCAGTTGTTCAGTGAGGCATTGTTGAATCATTAGAGGCTGTAACATTCAACTACATTTGCTTGGGTCCAAGTAAATGCAGGCTAGTCTAAAAACATCACATTGATTGTTCATTTTTAACATATATATTTTAACCAGTATTTTGGTAATATCATGCAGTCCTAATGTATCTGAAGGACTGTGAACACTGTCAAATGACCATTGTTATTGCACTGCATGTGTCTTAATGGGGGCTCTTTTTCCGCTGTGGTGCAGGTACTACTTTAAGAAGGCCAGCGATGAGTTCGAGTGTGGCGCCGTGTTTGAGGAGATCTGGGAGGACGGGACGGTGCTGCCCATGTACGAGGGTAAGATTTTGGGCAAAGTGGAGCGAATGGACTGAGGATACAACCAGCCATCCATTCACAGCCAGCTAACCAACCAACCAACCACCAGGATAACTATTGACTTCCATTTACCACACCTTGCCACCCCCCAAACCCTCCAAAACGAGGCTGGACCACCCTTATTGACCCCTTTCCCTGTATTTTTTAAGCTACCTAGAGTTAATATATTTGCGAAAGACTGCCCAGGTTGTGATGAAGTTATTGAAGGAACACTAAGCAACCAATGAAGAAAGTGCAGAAGACCTTTTTTAACCGATCAGCCTTAGAAACCTGAGAAACACAGCCTTCTGGGTAATGTAGTTTTGAGCAGTTGCTCGGAAATACAGTACATCCTCTGTGGAAGACGCAGATGACTTCACTACGCTGCAGTGGACTGACTACGCCACATCATCTGCTTTACCTATCGAACTCCAGTCAATGTTGAAATGTCTATACGTGTGTATATACATACAGGCCTATGTGTATATATACATGTATTCTTTTAAAGATAAAGATGTTTTTTTATTATTAAGTATTTATTGAAACTGTACTATCCCAACTTTCCCAACCCACATGTCCACAGAATGGACACGCTGCTTCAAAACGTTGGTTCCGTCCCTTTTATTATCACTAATGCAACACCCATGTACTCCTCTCTAGTCCCATCACAGAGTTCCTAGAAACTCAAATAGAATTCCTAGAATGTTCTGCTGCAGTAATGTCGATGAAAGCTCACTGTGCGGTAACTACTACTTAACATTTTTAGAACATTTTCTAACTCTATACATTGCTAAGAGATGGGTTCTCATGTTAGTTCCCATTGCCAGGACGTTCTAGGTAGTTTATTAAGCCTAGATTTACAGAAAGGTCCACTTGTTTGATGTTGTGCCTTTGTTTGTTGACCAGACATTGCACCAACACAAAGATGAGCCCACATACTAACGCTGCATCTATGTTACAGTGGAGAGTTTTCATTTTGCCCCCCTTGATTTCTGTAGAAACACGATTCATCAGTCCTGCATGGAGCACTGTGGGAGTGACAGAGAGGCAAAAAAAAGTTGAGAATTTCACACCTTTATGCAAATAAGATTCGTCCAACGTCGGCCAATTAGGTTGCTAAAATGCAGGGCATTGTTGTTGAGAAGATTGCAAGAGATGTTTGCTGTGGTCTAAGAACATTCAGATTTGTGATGTGTTCTTAAACCACAGAATTGTTGAGTGTGTGTAGATTCTGTTCTTACCTAAGAACAAATCCCAAGTAAGAAAACATTGGTGAATATCAGAATCTTCATAAAAACTGCAGTGAAAAGTGTGTTAGAATAGTCGGTAAATGAGGCCCAATGTACGGCTCGGAACATTCAGCTGGAAATGTGAAGGTCATTTTTTAAAACAATATTGTTTTAATCCACCTGCATGTCATATGAGGATAAAACTCTGCATAAACTTCTACTCTGAGCAGCTAAGCTTGCTTACATTTTACAAAACTCCCCCAAAGCAGCCAACAGGTGCCATCAGAAAGGATTCGCTTCACTGTAATGTAAATGCAGCATAAGTACCTGTTCATACCTGGTATTAACATTCGTCCCCAGAGATCTGATCAGTAAGACGTACACTTGGGATTTCTATGTGTTTCATATTGACTAGACGGACCTTTGTTGCTGTCAGGGACATGCTGGGATGCTTTAGCATTCACGCTACAAATGTTATTTGGTCAAATGCGTCGATGTCCACCTCCAAAAGCAGAGTGATTGGATCATTGTGCGACGCAGTGGACTCACATCTGAACTCCATTTATGATCTGACCACTCAGGACGTCTGTTAACGCCAGGAGTGAATAGAGCCTAAGAGATCAGAACTATAAGCTTTAGCATCTAACACTAAAGGGTATTTAAACAGTTCCAGAACATAAGTGCTTTCTATTAACAACAACATATTATATTATATTTAGCCATGTCCAATAGCTGCGACCATCCACACTCCATTGCTTCATATCATCTAGCACAACTCATAACTCAAAGATGATCTTCTTCTAGGCCTATATGTTGGAATGATCCATTGTGAACTGTAGGGGGGAGCACTAAAGTAAGTTTGATACCAGTGCAGCACCTGTGCCTACATGGACCATACCATGTGCTACCCTGTTTCAGGGTGTAATATTCCCTCGGTTTTAGAAGGGCTTTATGTTTAAAATTAAGAAGAAAAAAAAAACACTTTTTAAGCTTTTAATAAATGTCATTTACTTTTTTTGTTTGTTTTACTTTGTTTACTTTGTTTTATTTTATCAAATCTGTAAATTATACGTTATACAAAGAGTTTTCAGTTAAAGATTTTACTTTGATCTATAATTATTGTAATTATTAAAAGATGTAGCCTTTATTATTAAAGTTTTATATTTTTCAAATGAAACATCTTGTTGCCTCGATTCATTTCTTATATTGTGATATTGCAGAAAAAAAATCTGTCTGGACATTTGTTAATAGTGAATTCCACCGGAGTGGTTTAATATGAAATGGCTCGTTTAACACCCTGCATGTAGTTTTTAATCTGTGAATGGATAAGAAAGTGTTTTAGGCAAAAACGACAATGCATTAAAATATGCACCCCTGACATGTCTGCATAATTCAGTGGCTAAAGTCATTCAGAGTGGTTTGATGTGAAATGGTTCATTGTGGAGAAGCTTACTGACTCGGATTTCTTTACAGTGGTGGTGATAGGAACCAGGGGTCACAATGTCTACAACACAAATATAGCCATTTTATTTACTATCCAAAACCACCAGTGAACCTACATGTGCCTTCTGAGTGTTTATATGTCATGTCGATGATGATAAAATAGTGGAAAATTTAGGAGAAAACAAATTTTTTGCAGACTATTTTGCTTTACAGCACCCTCCACTGTGAATGGATGCTTAAAAATACATCAGAAAAACATCTCAAAACTTTATAATAAAAATCTTTAAACGTTATCTCTGCCTTCAGGCTTCAGCTTTCTGTGAGGAAGCTTTTAGTCTTTAGATGTCTGGTTTCTCATCTTAATTTAGTCATGTCCTGTTCCCTTCTATTAGCTAGGTCTGTTTTTATCACACAGTGTGACCAAGCTAAAAGGGTAAAGGCCAGCACATGCTTCCTCCAAGACACATGAAGCTCCACTACATCCCTGGACAGTTCAGCACACTGAGAGGAGAACACTGCCAATTTTGTTATATCAACCTCCCCATCATGTTGAGGGATGGGAGAGAGAGAGGGGACCACCCTTCTCACCCAGAGAGAGAGAAAGAACAATTATGCTCTTCTGGGTTCCTGATTACGGATGGCTGTGGCATCACTGATTGAACAAGTTCCTAATGAAAGGACCAACGCATAGACCCAAATGTTAAGAAGAGCCATTTTGTCCTTTCAACAAAAATCAAAAAACCCTTACGTTGCTCTGCTTTAAGATTTAGCTCAGCTATAGCCGATTTTCTCACATCTCCGGCAGGAAAGTTTTCCTCAAAAGTAGAACAGTTTCTTGTAAAATATAGGATTATTTTATGTTTACCTAAAACTCGAATTCTGCTGTGGAGCCACAACAGGGCAGTAATAGAGCCTCATGTTGCCGACCCCTGGCTTAGACAGTTTTACCCCTCCTGAGCCCCCTTTTTGTAATTTTTTGACACTGAAAAAACTCAAACCCACTGATACAGAATGTAAATTCAATGTAAAATTTTTTTAATAAACTATAACGGCATAGTAAAACGACAATAATTGTTCAGGAACCTCTAAGGGTTTCCATTGCACACATTTTTACGACCTTAACTGATTTTCTGATTTAAGTCCCATCAGAAACGGCACATTTCCGTGTGTCGTGACTGTACTGTATGTTTTTTCCTGGCTCGTGCGTAATTGGACTTTCTCTGCGAAGTTTGTGTGTCTGCGTGTGGAATAACCTTTCTCTTAGTTTGCTGTTTGATCTCGCCTCCGTCTCTCAGTCTGGGGATAATCTCCTCCGCCACTTTTATCCCTCTTTTAATTCTCCTTCATTATTTCTAAATCTGCCAGCTGAGTTCAGCCACGGAGGGAGACGCTTCTTTAAAGTAAAGTACAGGACGCTGACCTCTTCTCTTTATTTTCTCTCCCTCCCTTTTATCAAACATCAAGAAGAGTGTACACTTGGACGCTGAGAAAAGTGAGGTGTTTATTTGATACGTGAATAAAACATATTACTTTGAGACTTTGCCAAAAGTAAGTAAAATGAAAGACAAAATTGTGTTTCCTTCAAGTGGAAATGATGTACACAGTTGAACTGAGTAAATTCATGCAAAGCAGCTGCACATTTTTCAATTTTTTGGTTGCAATTTCAGTCATTATGGGTCATAATCATAGGATATGTAAAAGTATCTACCAAAACACTTCCCCAGTACTGAGGAACTAACTGCAGTGGAACTTCAGCATCTATCAGCACAGGGACTGAAGTTTGATGGGCTCTATTCTTCTCTTTTTGGATCCTTTAGACCTAAAATAAAATGCTAAAGCTCCAAACTCAGACGTGTGAGCAACGGTAAAGCGATCCAGGAGCTGAATAAGCACAACAGAATGAAATTAAAACCTTCCAAATGCTATTAGGAGCTAAATGTGAGGAACTTAAAGGCTCCTTTCCTCACAAATGTACTCGAGTAGCACACAAACTCGAGCTACCACAGTTTTAAACGCCTCAGAACTGACCTTGCCAAAACACCTTAATGTTAACATGTTGGCTTGATTAAAGCATTAAAATCCCACTGAAAATGCCTTAAAAGAGGCCGCGAGACAGAAACAGCCTGTATTTGTGTTACAGACACCAAACCTCTAAGAAAACATTAAAGAGTTAGCATAGTTAGCCAGTGCTGCTAGCCGCTTAGCTTTTAAGCCACACTTAAATACCTGATATTCTTTGACAGTTGCTCCATCTATCTATCTATCTATCTATCTATCTATCTATCTATCTATCTATCTATCACATCCTTCAATTCATTCATTCACTGTAATTAGTGTTTAGCATTTTAGCCGTTACAAATAGACCTCATGTTGTATTTCTCTGTTTCTCTCTCTCTCTTTCTTTCTTGTCTGTCTGCCTCCTCTCTGTCTTTCTCTTCTGTCCCTTTTACTCTTTCTCTCCCTCCTTTGCCCTTTCTTATGCTTTTCTCGCTTCCACTCCCTCTCTTTTCTGCTTTCTCTCTTTCTGACTCTTTCACTGATTCTCTGTTGGGATTTTTCTGCTTTTCATTTTTCTGCCTGTCAAGGACACTTTTTGTCCCTCCTTCTGTTCATCCATCCATCCATCCATCCATCTATCCTTTCTCTGTTTCTCTCGGTTTTCCCTCACTCTTTTTTGTGCTTCCCTCCTTCAGTCTTTCTGCTTTTTCAGACTTTCTCTCTGTTCTTGTCTTTGCCCCCCCCCCAAATTTCACACCTCTTCTGCCTCTCTTTCACACTCTCCCTTTACACTCTCTGCTGTATTTCTGTTTCTCTCACTCTTTTTCTCTGTCCGTTGCTTTCTCAGTCTGTTTCTCACTCTCTATTTCTGTCTTTTTCTGCTTCTCTCTTTCACTCACTCTATTTTTGCCTATCTTGCCTGTTTTGTTTGTCTCATCAGTCTTTTTTCTCTCTCCCTCTCTCTCTTGCTTTTTCTGTTTCTGTTTTTCTCTCTATTTCTCTCTCTCTCTCTCTCACTTTCTCTTTTTTGTTTCTCTCACACTTTCTCTCGTTCTCTTCTCCCTCTCTTGCTTTCTGTTTTTCTCTTTATTTCTCTCTCTCACTCTCTCTGTCTCTCCCACACTCTCTCTCTCTCCAGGCTGCGAGGCCTTTGTGTTTGAAGCCTTTGTAGATTTGCAGCTCGTGCTTAAATCTGTCCTTTCATCCCTGCCGTTCCTCATTAGCATATTTAATTGCCAGGTAAAATCATTTGTTTACAATCCGTTTAATTATTTGATTGTACAGTAAACCGTGAGGAAGGAGAAGAAGGTTGGAGAGAGGGAGGTAGGGAAGGGGGGGAGAGAGAGACACAGAGAGAGAGAGAGAGAGAGAGAGAAAGAGAGAGAGAAAGAGAGAGAGAGCTCAGTTGCCAGAATACACATCAAAGCAGTGCCTTGATGTTGATGTTGAATGGGCATTAATGGTTTCTGAAGGCAAGAGATTGCATGAAAAAAGAGAGAGAGAATAGAAAAAAATTTAAACCCCCTCTCTCATAATCCCGCCAGCGATCTCAGCAAATGCATAAACATGGGAACCTTCTGCCAAAGAGAGAGAGAGAGAGAGAGAGAGAGAGAGAGAGAGAGAGAGAGAGAGAGAGAGACCATGGCGTAAAGCTGAAAGCTTCAAAAGATTCTGGGAGTTAAGTTTAGATTATGAACACAGGCCAGGCGATAGCTCTCTGCGCTCCGAGTTCATTGTTAATGTAAAGTGAATTGTTCACACGTTCCCAAACCAGCATTTTGGAGTAAGTGATTTCTTTTTTTTCTATTCAATCCACCTCATTTGGAGTAAGCGGGGGCACTTAGAAGGCAATTACGAGAGAAGAGCCAGGCGTATAAACCCATGGCTATGACTCCAGCTGACTAACTGCTCTAGCAAATGGAGCTGCCTCGAGTCGACTGAACAGAAACGCGTTACTGTACAAAGATGTCAAATATTCACAAAATCAAACTGAGCTGTTCTGGTGTGTGACGCTGAACGCTGGTGTATGTAGCCACTGTAATGGTCATCAAAAAATCCTTTTTTTTGAAGGTGAAAGCAGACAACTTGCTCCCTTTGACTGAACCAATTCACTCCATCATAAGTTGAAAAAAGTTCATTAAAACTCAGAACTTCGGTTAATTTGGTAGCATACTTTGGTGGCAACATAGTTCAAAAGGTGCCAAGAAGGTGCTTTGGAGTGATGCCTGAGAAGAACCAGTTATGGTGCTCTAAAGATTTTTTTAATAGATAAATGAAATTTTTACATTTCAAAGAACCTCAACAAAGTTTCTATAACAAAGTGTTTTTTTTTTTTTCGTCTGGAATTGTACATCAAAGCATTGTACATCCGTTGGTATGTACCAGCAGAAAGCTCTGAAGCTGTGGTGCTGCTAGCAAAAGCAAACAAAAGCATTAGAATGGGAATTCAGGCAAATACATTTTTAAAAAATCAGCTTTTTTCATCCCAAAGCTAAACAGTCTTAATATGTCCATTAACATCTCCTATTATCATATATGCAAAAAGGAGAGCTTAATTACAAATATATTTTACAGTCACTGGTGTTATATGAATATGGTGTAACACCAGTGACTGTGACTCCAGTGACATTCTGGTTAAAACTGAGGATTTTGTAAACTGGCTGACTCATTGGTGGTCAAGTGACCTTGTGCAACTGTTTAAAATCAGTAATAAAATTCATATATATGACATTATTG